CCCCACTGTAGCTTTGCATTTGTTATAAGAAAGGAGGAAGAATAGAAGAATTGTCCGCTCGTTCACCTTGACATAAACAGATCACAATGTTCAGTTTGACTCAGTAACACCTCAACAGCTTCTAGACCAAAATGAACAATCTTGGACGCTATGGACAGGAGACACCTGGAACAGTTAGGGAAATATCCCCATCATCAGACTAGTGATTTTAAATTGCTTTCAGCTTATTAGAACTATTAGTTACAGAGTAAATAACACTGATTCTAAAAATCAACCTTATTTGAGCCGACATATATTCTGCAGGACAGCAGCTTGATTTTTTACTTCTTTCACCATGACAACCTTCAAAAAAAATGACAAAAGGTGTTTCAGTGATGAACACATACCAGTAAACATGGATCTGTAGGGGAGAAACTGTTTAATGTATGAGCTATTGAGTTTGACTATAAGTATTGGGACCAATGAATGTACTACTTAAGCCTTTTATTTTTTAGCCAGCTGCTTATACTTTGGTGGAAAAAGTGACTCATATACAATAATGGATGCACAGCAGGAACAGGAAATAACAAGCTTATGGCAAATCTTATAATATTTGTCATTTGTTGTGAGAAGAACAAAAACACCATCTACATATTATTATTATTATTATTATTATAAACAGTTTATTGTCTTCTTTTACTAACAAATTGTCATTATTATTGCTTTTAATCATTTTTTTTGCTATGTGTCCTTATAAGATACTGTATAAATAAAGGTTGTGCTGCATGATCCTTATATGACTTTTACACAGTCTCTGTGGGAATGACAGGCCACACATGAGTGATATCACTACAGTTAAACACAAACATATGGTATGCAATAGTTACTCGGTTATTTAGCACACGGAGCGTCTTCTCTGCAGTCCCTTCTGCTGAGCGTTGATTGTAAAATTGCCTTATGGTGAATCAGCAGGGGTCGCTGTGGAAATTGCTCTCTGTGGCAAAGTATCCCCGTGTTATGAAAGCACACACGTGAGTTTGTAAACACGAGATAGAGAGAGAGAGTGGAGAAGGACGGCCATTCTCCCAGCTCAGTAATATGAGGCCTTCTTACTTTCCTTTGGCGCTGTTTGCCAACATCCTGTGTCTGTGTGAGAGCTACACCCTCAGGAGCTCCGTGTCCTGGGTGGTGTCCTCCAACGATGTGGTGGAGGACGGAGACTTGTCGGAGGAGGTCGCCCCGGCGCTGCTGGTGGACAGTGCGGGGCTGTGGAAGCAGGCGTATCCGTCCTCCAACGTCCTCGGAGACAGCGTGGAGAGCCCCGGAGAGCTGGTCAAGCCCGAGGGCGACAGCGCCGCACAGCTTTCCTCTCGCCTGTTTTCATATCGGTTAGAGAAGGTGAAGAAGTCCGCCAGCAGCACTCCTCCCCCGCACCAAGACACAGCAAAGACTGCCAGATACATATCTCATTACAGTGACTGGGGGTACCTGGCCACCATTTCCACTCAAGAAAAGGTAACGCACACAGAGGGGATAGTGGTCCCGGTTCAGGATTTCTTTGCGCATTTAAGCGTAATGGGACAAGCTGAGGAACACGCCCATGTTCTCACCATATTATGAAAAAGATACCCCTCTACCTTTGTGCGTGGACCCTTTGATTTTACTCGAAACACGATCAGCTTTTTAAATACACTGATGAAGATTTGAAGAAAATTCACCAGTGAAAATCAAACGCATATGCAGGAAATCACACCGAGTGACAAGTACTGAAAATAGCCTTAAAATAATCTCCTTACGCAAGACCAGAACTGAGATCAGCCCGAAGTGCCCTTGGGATACACCCACCCTGCGTATGTAATGTGAATTTAACTGAGAAATAGCTTCAGTCTAATGGGTGAAGCTCTGCATGGATGGGTGTCCTTCTCGAGCTTCTCCCATCTCAACAAACGAGCTCCATCTGTTTGTTATTTTAAAATGGAGCTCATGAATTTGCTGTTGCACTAAAAACTCTTCCGAGTGATCTCAAATATCAAAGCTGAAGGCATAGCTGTTCTGTTAAGCTTTTGGAAACTGCTGATTTCTGGAACTGATTGGTTGTCATTGGGCTATTTCATGTAAAAACTTCATTACATTTTTTAGGATCACGTTTATTTCATTTTAGTGTAATTTTATTGGTTTTATGCGCTAAAATTTACTTACTTAAAACAAGCACAAAGGATCTGTGTTGCTTAAAACCTATGTCTTTATAAATGCATATAAATATAAGTTTCTATATACTGTAAAAATATAGCACATTTTTTTATGTGTGTGTGTACAGATCAAAGGTCTTCCTTTTGGAAACATCTTCTCAGTGAGTGATGGACCACTGGACAACAGCACTGGAGTCATCTATTTTTATGTGACTCCAATGGACAACACTGTGGCAGACCTGAAAAGCAACCCCTATGCTTCTCTCACCTTCTCAGAGGCTGAGGGGGAATTCTGCAGGTAATCTAAATGTTGTTCTGTGGGGGGGGAAAAACACCCATCTATCTGATTATTGAGATCCTCTAGCCAGATGCTCTTAGGTGTTGATTTAGACACAGAGGGGATTGGCCTTTTTTCACTCACAGCCTCTAGACTGGCACTTAAAGTCCCATATTAAAGCTCACATTTTTACCTTGGCTGTTAATTTCAGTTAACTTTGAGTCTCATTAGGTATTCTTGTGTTGTTGCTTCTGTCAGTTTGTTTTTAGTCACATTTTATTGTATTTGTTTTTTTTTTATGAGTTATTTTATTGTATTTATTTTATTGATCGCAGTTTTTGTCTCGTTTGCATTTGTAAAGCATGTTGGTCAACCTTGTCGCTTTTAAATGTGCTGTAGAAATAAAATTGACATTATTGCTCATTTAATAAAACACAAAGTGAAATAACAGTTTTAGATATGAAAGAAGCTTTCTTAAAAATATGCCCTAATTACTTCAAGAGAAAGATCATGGATGTAGTGAAGCAGGACATGCAGAGGAGGATGGAGAGGTATAGAGTGAGATGGAGGCAGATGATTTGCTGTGGCGACCCTTAATGAGAGCTGCTGAAAGAAGATGTTTTGAGCTTCAAACAGTTTCCACAAACTAGTTGACACAGTAATCTTGGGGATTTTGGGACAGTTTGCTTGTTTGGTCTAACCTCAGCTAAATCACTGCTGTAGCTTTCTGAAACACTACATACAGCTGTGTGTCTTGCAATGTTGAATGCTCTCCTGTGTGTGTGTGTGTGTGTGTTTTTGTTCTTTTTAAGGCAAATGGTGTATGATCCAGAGGATCCCAGATGTGCTCGACTCACGCTCACGGGCAAGATGATCGAGGTGGCCCCGGAGGAGCTTGCGTTTGCGAAGGAGGCAGTGTTCTCAAGGTAACAGAGCATGTAGAAGATGTCTTTTCCTTAGGGAAACACCATTTGGCATGCGTGACATGTATCCTGACATTTTGCACAATGTTTCAAAGGCATCCTGTTATGGCAAAGTGGCCAGTGGGACACAAGTGGTTCTTCATGAAGCTGGAGTTGATTCAGATCTGGCTGCAAGACTGGGTCGGGGGTACAACGCTCATTCCGCTGGAGGACTACTTTAAAGCTACTCCTTTCTGAGAATATCCCTCACAAATGCTATCTGCCCCACAGATATCACTCCAGTAAGGTGTTCACAAATTCACAAAGCAGAATGTGCAAAGAATGTTTTACATCTTGTTTAAAATCCTGTTTCAATTCATCTGTAAGGCAGGGGTTGTTCTTCATGCCTACATTTTCTCTTCTTTCATATCTTTGTTTGTCACACAAGATCAGTTACTTGTGTTTGATGCGTGAATGTATTTATAGTCAATAAATGACTTAAACTCCTCACATCTGTGAATGCAGTTTGTATGAAACATAGATTGTTTGTTGATTGCATCTTGGGTTCACACTAAGATGCGTTTTCTTTAAATAAATAAAATTAATATTGTGCATATTATTTAAAGTAAATATAAATTTGTTGTCTATTGTTAGTATTAACTGATTCACACTCCTAAACCTGTCATTTTCATTTTTAAACAAATATGGTGATTGTGTTATTAACAACAGAACATAGAAAACAAATCTAATGTTTAAATTGAGATATTTTACTGCTGCATGAAAAAAACCAACTCATTTTGAATTTGACAGCAACTTGTTTCAAAAAACATTGGGCAGCTACTTTTTGCACAGTTAAACCCTTTTAAATTTCATATTCGAATATGAATATGCTTCTTGTAGTTTAAGTCTTATTATTTGCTTGCATTATGTTCTGCGTTGAGAGGGTGCCAGCTGAGGTTGCATACAAATACAAGCTAAAGTTTTGGGCACTAGATGGTGCACTTAATGTGTGTTGGGGGGAAAAATAGCCGGTTGGTGGAAAAAGCACAAGTTTGACATTATAGAGTTTTCTAGTAATTTCACAACAATTCCCACGTCAATAATGCTGGTTTATTTTATTTTTTAGGTTTCATCTACAGTGGGGGGTTTGAAACTTAAAAATGATTGTGTTAAAGTTGGAGTGAGAATTTAACAGATTTTTTTTCCAGGTGCAGCAATGATAGCTTTAAACAAAGATATTAAAATAGCAGTCCTTTCAAACGCCTGGAATGACTGCATGCTCGTCCCGTCGTGAGTTGCACCACTGTTGTCGACCACAACAGTGAGTCGAGTGAGTGCTTTATTTTGAAGGTTCTTACCGGAAGCCCAGTTTGCATATACTACCGTATGGGGCACGTTAATTTCCCTAAAAAAGCACCCAAGGTAGACCGGTTTATCTATATAACATGTAAAAAAATCATTTGCGCTTGGTTAATTTTAGGGGTTGTGTTAATTGAGGTGTGCCGTAGAACTCCTCCGCGACAGTCAGCGCAGAATGAGCCCCCTGTCCGCTTGGCTTTAGTTTACCCGGCTGGTTTCAACTTCGTGTTAGCTCGTCAGCTAAGTAGCTAACAGACGTTCTGTCGCAGTATGCGGGTCGACTAGCAGTGACGGTTAAAACTTGGTTGTTTTGTGGAAGAGGCTCAGTGAGTTAGCCGCACTCTACCGTGTTTATTTGCGTATGTTTTAACCCTGCTCTCCGTTAAAGCGAAATCAACGTGATTCGAGGCGTAGCCTTTAGGACACCGTCAGAGACCCACCAGCCTATCCCGGACGATCAGTAGTCACACTGTTGAGATGACATCTACTTGTAACTTGTAGCTTAACGGCTGGCTTTGAAAACACTATGGATTGTATTGGCAACTAGTTCGTTCTTTTTAAACCCACAATGTAAGCTATATTGTCTCACAAACAAAGCAGCCGACTGATAACCGATAGGCTAGGTTAGCACGTATGTTTTTTTAGTCCCGCGAACAACGAAAAGAGAAGACGCTCCGACAGGGCTACAGCAGCGCCCTTGTTTCCGTGCGGAGAAGTCGGTGTTCACCCTCCCCGTTAAGCGGAGCGTTTTTACGGGTTGAAGCACCCTATGCCCGTGCCTACGCCCGTCTCCACATCCTGAAGCCAGAGAGAGAGAGAGACGGAGGGAGGGAGGCAGTGGCAGCTCCGGGGTCCCCGACACGAAGCCGAGGAGAGGCATCGCTGAAATGAGATGAGGCTCAGAAATGGAACTGTGGCCACTGCACTTATCTTCTTCACGTCTTTCCTTAGTCTCTCTTGGTATACAGCGTGGCAGAATGGCAAAGGTAAGTTGGACATTTATGTCATCTCGGTTATCCCCCCCACCCCGTATAAAAAAATGTCAGAGGGATCGACGGTCTCTAGACGAGGCCTGGTTAACAAGCTGGCAGGCAGAAAGCTGAAGCATGACCAGCAAGCAGCATGTCTTAAGACACAGCAGGTGAAGTCATCCATCCCGTGGAACTGGTTTCAACGTGGTAATGCGTAATAACCCGTGTTATCGCTATAATAAATGGATGGAGTTCTTTTGTTTTAAGCTTTATTGTGCCCCATCTCCTGTCCCAGTTAATCATACCCAAAGTGCTGTTTCCAGCCATCCTCACTAACTTAGGGATAATCTAGTTTGCCCCTGCCAGGCAAAACCTCTAGATAATTACGCCATTCACTAACATTAGGTTTCTGCATACACGTCTTTTAATGACTCTCATCTGAGCATTACATGTCAGGCATCTGTGCCTGAGCTTATTACACAAGTGTGGCTGTGTTACAGTACACAGCTTATGGCTGAGTGCTTACTTTCCAGTGTGGTGTGGGCAGGAATATGGGCCTTGGTCTTGTTACCAGCAGGGTGTAAATAATTGCAGCCCATATATAAATTTCAAACCAGGGATTCAGGTTGTGATTACTGCAGATCGTATCAGCTTGATGAAATGTTTTCTTTTAAATGGAGCAGGCTCAGACTGGTGATTATATGAAAGTGGGCGTATGGGGGGGTAGAGGTTATGAGATGATGCTACCATAAATGTTGCACCTGTTGATACAGTTAGTAAGTCTGTATGGGATAAAGCTATGGCAGGTCAGTCTGTTCAATTTGACAGTTGTCACAAGCCAACAAAATTATAATACTGGCTCCTGGTCTTTATGTAAATCCTTAACATGTACTGTTTAATTGTGGCTCACAATGTAGATGATGTGCTCACCTGTACAACTTATAAACCATTAAGGTTGCCATTAAAATACAGTGCATGTGTCCAACCATGGTTATCCAGTAGCAAGTGTATGAGACAATTTGTTATTTTAAATTTGATTTCAGACTTGTCCACAAACCATCTCCACATCTCATCCCTGTGAACACAATAACTCAGCTGCTCTGTGAGGATATTTCCTCAAACTTGGCAGAAATAGTCTTGTATGCATGGATGAAGTGATTGAATATTTGTGCTCTGACAGAATAAAATAATGAAGTCACAACGTTTTATCCCAAAAGGTCACCTTCAATTTGACATAATCATACCCTGTATGAATACGTATCTGGACATTATACAACGGCGTAACTCAGGAAGACAAAGGTTGACTGTAAATAAATGTAGCCTGGGGTGGGCGGTTTAATTTGTTCAAACTTAAAATAAATTTTTTGCTTCTCAATTGGCTAAAATAACAGAAAAATACATAGATTTATTTTAGATAGTTAAAAATAGTTTTAGTTAAAATGACATTTTCCCTTCCCATTATCACCAACTGCGTACATTTAGGTGTTTGTCTGATTGTTGGAGTTTCACTTTTTATTTGTTATTCCAGGATTTTTACTGTACAATGAAAAGCGATTTGAGATGACCGTTGCTGTGATTTGGTGCTATATAAATAATTAAAATCCCAAATAACTATTTTGAACCTGGTAAATCTGTGATTGCTGCCAATAGTCTTCAATTGTAACACTGAAATTGTGGTAATTGAGTATTTGGTTGCGAGCCAGGTGTGCTTTAGAATTTGTAGCTTCCTTGCAGCAACACTCAAATCTGAAATCTTTTATACTGTTATTGCCACAACTAAGTGTTCACACTGGGCTTTATTTGTGAAGCTTGAAAATACCCGCAAGGAATTTGACTTTTGTGTTACTCACAATAAAATCACTCCCTAATTGTAGACATACAATTAGAACAAGAAAAAAAAGCTCAGCAAAGTTATTTCCGGTGATTGTTCCTGTTTCACACATTAAAGTCTTAATATACAGTCAACGTCTGTAATGAAACAGAAAAATACAGATATGAAAATGTGACCTGTCTGGCAAGTTGAGCTGATAGTTCTGTTTTTCCTAGAGTCTTGTGGTAATGAAATCCAAACATTGCTCAGTATGGAATTATTATAACATAGATTTGATCTTGTCCTAGAAGGAGAAGAACTGGTGTCACTTAAAACACAAACCATTAACTTATTGTATTCAGCTCGGCCTTCGCAGCGGCAGTTAAAGCTCTATGCTCAAAACAAGGATCCTGAAACTGACCTGAACTCCACTGTTATCAGTTTTATTACAGCGCTTGTGACTTTCTTAGTGTGAAAACATCTTTGTAGACGAGGGCTACACAGACGGATGCAGTAATGCTGCTATTTAAAGAAAAATGCTTTGAGCTGAAAGATCTCAACATGCTAGAGCTTAAAGGATCCCTGTGGAGCATTTGACCTCTGTGCTTTTTTTTCTTCTTCTTCTGAGTGGCTCCCTGTTTTTGTTTGTCACATGCACGAGCACGAGTGTGTATGTGCAAGACCTCTCATGCACAGTGTCAAATACAATTCACACAGGTCCACTCATCTATGGTTGCAGGAAGATGCCAGGAATGTGCCAACAAAGGCTGGGAAAAACAAGATTGCCAGCTAATAGACGTGCATGTAAACGGATGTTGGTTTTTAAGCTTTATTTGTGCCGTGGTGGCCTGGGGTTTGTGTGTTTGCTTGCAGTTTTGTATATGAAATAAGCTCTTCTTTATGCTTTGTTGGCAAATTGGCCTTTAATGTGATTGTGCTTTTATTATTTGGAGCATTCCTTTCCTAAATGCTGTCTTTGTGTTGAAGTTTTGTTTATGTCTGCATATGCTAAGCTACAGCGCAATAACATGATCCTGAAATAGGGGGAAAAAAAATGCATATTTTAAAGAAAATTAGCCGTGACTTTGTTGTTTGTGTGCATCTGTCTCTCGTGTTCTATCTATTGTTAAAAACACCAAACTGTGGGAGTGGGACAGATAAAAGCTATTTAGTTAGAATTAATAAAAATAAATTGTAATTAAAAGCTATATAGCACTTACATGTACACTTAGATTTTTTTATTTTTAGAAAGTGATCTAATCACTCAGGCTGCCTTTTTCTAACTGTATAATATTTATCAGATCTGTTCCTATAGTGCATTTCATAGTATTAATTCTCCTGATTAGTGTGTGGCTTTTACATGTGTCTTTAGGTATTTTATCTTGTGTTTCACTGGCTCATGGTCTCTGTGCTTTTTCTTATCTTAACACGTGATGCTTTAGCACAGATTGCTTTTCTGTTTTTAATCACATTTTTTTATATCATATTATTTCTTATTGTGGGAATAAATAGCTTTTACTCTTAACTCTGGCCAATGTGAGCACTTCTAGTGTTGAACATGAACTCAGGCAGTGAATAATTTTAAAAATGTAAATGTTCAAAACCTCTTTAAGTACCGGTAAGTGTTTTTCAGTGGACTGGGTTGTATAGATAAATATTTGTAGCTCAAAGAGCAATTTCTTTATTGGAGTAGAAAGATTACCTATCAGTTGTTTTTTTTCCCTCTTTTTGTTTTGCATTAACCTTTGCTTCTGATAGCCTGTTCTGTTGCTGGTCACTTGACTGCTGTGAATGAGCACTGTGCCAGTCAGCTGTCCAAACACTCTGCGGTGAATGACTCTCCAGAATGTGTACTTCTCTGTCAGTCTCCTTCTTTCCCTAGTGAGAAGCTGCTCTCTACTATCTCTTTGGTTATATCTCAAGTAGATCAAAACAACAAGAATAAGCTAGATAAAGACGAATAATATAGGTGAGCTTTGAGTTGCTCAAACAGTATGGTGAGGTCCTCTCTTTTTGTGTCAAAGAAGAAATGCGTATCCACATTTCTGTGTGTTTCCTCACAATGAGCATGTCATTGTCGTTTGTTATCATAAATGGGTAGGGCTTTGCAAATATATATCATTTCCTTTCCATCCACAGCAAAGTTCACACACATTAATAACAACCTTGTTTGTCATGAACCTTAGATATGATACCATCATTGTGATTGCCCCCACATGTTGCTTTAAACATTTTTTTCCATTTAGTATTTTTTTTCCTTCAGGCATAGTCAAATCAAGGGGCCTTTGTATTCAAAAACTTTACATTTAGGGTGTTTATATAGTTTAATGCAGTCTTAAATACTGTTGGAAGAAAGGAAAATTAAAATCCTACTGATCTCTGTAAATGATTTAATTAATTCTGCTTGGAATATCTATGGAGGGAAAAAAACAAGTGATTTTTATAGTCTTTATAACTTTGTCTTGCATTTCATTCCTATTATTCATTCTTGTAGTATGTGACAGCAGTCTCCTTGTGTTAAGACATCACATGAAGAACTTTAAAAGCTTCCTTCAAAGAGAACCATCTGATCAGTGTTGTTCTCTTTGAAGGAAGTTGAGTGTCTTGGCTGCTTTTACACAGTTGAAGTTACAAAAATTATGTGTTGCAGATGTTTTAAAAGCACTCAGTGTTTCATACAGTTGTTTAGGACGTAGTCCGTTATTTTGAGACTAGGATAGTGCCAGTTCTGTGCTTATAGTTTCAGCAGATTCGCTCAATCTTCAGTGTCACGCACAAAACACCCTTTAGTTATGGAAATATCACTTCCTCCTTGCCTTCCCTGAGTGCATTCCCCTCCCCTCCTCATTGTTTAAAGGCATGACTTCTTCCATCATTGCATCAGTCCAAACACAATGGGACAAAAATAGCTTGTGCTAAAGGAGAAAAAAGCAGGCAGATTCTATAAGGTGGGCTAGCGATGTAGTTTATTAGTTTGATTGGGAGAAGATACGGCTTGCACGTTTTGGTTCTTCTTTGTGATATCTGGCTGTGTGTGCAATTGTGTGTGTTTGCTTTTTGGCTTTTGGACTTTGTGAGGTAGGGCTGTCTGCCAGACAAAAGTAGCCTGGAAGGAAGAAGAGTATAAAGACTAAATCTTAAAAGAGGGAATAGAAAAGCCTGAGGTGGGCTCTTATTGTGGAGAGAAAAGGCAGATAGTGCTGAC